CGGCAGCGAGGACAGACAGGAAGGGGAGCGCTCAGGCTGGGCAGGGGCCAGGCCCCTCGGCAGCCACACCACGCTGAGTGCCCACCCGGGCCCGCCACGTGGGGTGAGCACCGGGCGCAGCGCCGGGGAGCCGAGGGACAGCACCCACGAAGCGGGGGGCTCCTCCCAGACGGGGCAGTCAGGGCGGGGCTGAGCGCAGGGCGCCGGGCCCCACCGCCCAGTGAAAAGAGGGGGAGTGAGTGGGTGTGTGAGCTGACCGTGCGTGAGTGTGCCGAGGGTGTGTCGGGGGAGGGGGGGTGCGGCATGTACGGATCTGGGGTGTGGGCTGCACGCGTGTGCGGCGTGCGGGCGTGAGGCGCCCGGCACGGCGTCCCTGTCCAAGGTGCCTGCTCATTCCAAGCGCACAATGAGCACAACGGCCCTTACAATCTCCAAGGAGCGCGCCGGAGTTGGGAGGACACCGAAGACCGATGGGCGGGTGGAGTCACAGCTGAAACGCTCCTGCACAGTGCCAACCCTCGCCCGCCCTGGGCCAGGAACCCCTCCCCTCCCTCAGTGAGACGGGGGCCCAGGGGACGCTGCTCAACAAGGCCCGCAGGGCTGCCTCTGGCAGGAGACGCAGGCAGGGGGCCCGGGCCGCTCAGAGCCCTCCAGAAAGGCACTGACGCAGCTGTCCTCTAGTGGACACTCTCCAACTCGGTGAAAAGGTGGGCAAGACGCTCGGGAGCGATTCCCGCAGAAACGCCAAACCCGCGCTCACCGGCGTCCCGGGCGGGGCTGGGGGCCGAGCCCCCGAACAGGACCTCAACGAGCGGGGAGGCGGGGCCGGCGCGGAGCTTCCGGAGGGCGAGCAGGGCTCTGTGCGGGGGACACGCTGTCAGGGCTGGGGGAGCCCTTCCCGCTGGAGCCCGGGCTGCCCCAGGGGCTGGGCCGCCACCCCGCAGGCCAACAGCCGGGAGCACTGAGCTCGCGCCCCCGGCCGCGCACACTCACTCTTTCAGACGCTTGTAGGTGACGTCGTTGGCGAGCTTCAGCAGTCTGTAGGGAGTCTCTCGGTGCGAGCTCAGCTGCAAGTCCCGGGTCTCCTCAAAGGCCACCGTGACCGATTTCGGGGTGATCCGGGTCAGGATCCCGGTGGCCAGCTGCCCCTCTTCGTTCGCCCCATACAGACCCACTATGTCTCCTGCAGAAACCAAGGCTCTGTTACACCCAATGCTGAGTTATCTCATGTAATAAATTCTTTGTGAGTGTCAAATGTCACACCCGTTACTTTCTTAGTTATTTATTTTTTAAGTTACTTATGCCTACAAGAACCTGGGTACAGGCCAGAGGCGTGGGGGGGTGAGAGGATTCTCCTGACCCGCCCGCTGCCCCCTCAGGAGTGTACTTTATGGATCTGCCTGTTCTGCTCCCCGCTCTGTCTCTGGTGAATCTTCCCACCCCTGCACCTCTGACCTGCACCCCAATTCTCGTGTGCCTAAATAAACCTTTTAAAAAGCCCTTCAAGCTCTGGTGAGTCCTACACATGCAGCAAGCACCCGCCACTGCACAAGTGGCCAAGAGTACTCATGGCTGGGCACCGTCCTGAGCCGGCAGACCCGGGCCCAGGAAGCCACAGCCGGTTACCACCAAGCTCTGGCCCCAAACACCGGGTGCGGGCCCTGCTCGTGGGGGTGGCAGTTCCGCCTGGGGCCAACAACAGTCAAACCTGCACGGACCCGGGGTAAAGCTGTGGCTGGGAAGCAGGGCGGCCGCACATCTCCGGGGCTCCAAGGTGACCAGCAGCCGTCCGTACAGCCCGGTCCTCTGGCTGGACACCTGCAGCTTCAGCAGACAGACGCCGCGGCTCTGCAGCTCCTTCAGGGAGGTGTGCTCCTGCCAGGACCTGGAGGACAGCCGCAGGCGCCGAGACGCTTGACCAGCCCCCCGCACTTGACCAGCCCCCCGCGCTTGACCAGCCCCCGCGCTTGACCAGCCCCCCGCCGTCCTACGCGGTGGGCTGCTCTCCCAGTCTTCCCTCAGGCCTGTCGGCTTTCCCTCTCCCTCTCCCCCATTTCCACCTTACTGGGCTCTATCAGGATTAAGTTGTTGCAGGTGAGACGGTCAGCAAAAACACCCTGAAGTTACCTCTGCCTCTCGCCCCCAGGCCCCAGCCCAGTTCAAGCCCACACTGCTGACAGCTTCCTGGTCGCCTCACCTCTGCGCTACCTGGCCAGCTGCTCGAGGGACAGCTCTTCCCCAACCACAAGCCAGGTCCCCTCTCGCCTCCTGGGCTGAGCCGGGGGCCTCCCTGCCACGCCACCGCCACGCACACCCCGTGGCCCGTCTCATCGGACCGACTGTCTGTGCCGGGCTCACTGCGCCTGGCACAGCCCAGGCCTCTGACTGGTGGATGGTTTGGCCCTCACTGCAGGCCTGTGGGGGAAGAGCCCCACTTTCCAGGTGGGGCGCTGAGGGTCAGCACCTGCAAGGCCACACAGCCAGAAGAGGAGGGGCGGGCCCCACAGTCCTCGGTGGCAAAGCGCCGGACTCTCAGGAGCAGCTTGTCACTGGCGCCCTAGCAACGGCAGGCGCAAGGGCTGCGCACCAACTCTGGGGCCGCGCTGTGGCCTCCAGCCCGGCCCCTCCGCCCGCCCAGCGAGGTGAGGGCAGCCAAGGAAACCGTTTCGGGCGCTGAGTGTTCAGCTCCCGCCAAGCGGCTCCGCCCTTCACAAACCGGCGGGGGCCTGGGGGGTCTCGCGCCCCGGCGCATCCCGACGCCCTTCCTCCCGCTCCTCGCTCCTCTCCAGACCCACCCGAGGCCTGGTGACGGGGTGACGGGGCCAGTCACCCCAACCCTCGGGGGACCCCTGCTCGCCGCCCGCGCTTCCCCCGCACGCCCAGCGCGGGACTGGCCACCCCGGCTCCCACCTGCCCCCGGCTCGCAGCCAGGCACGAGCATAACGCAGGTGCAAGCGTTACCGGAGGGGACGGTAAGGACAAGGGCAGCGAACAAGTCAGGGAGGCCGCGGGGCGCACGGGGCAGCGAGGCGAGCGAAGACTCAGAGGGGCTTCCGGTGGCGGCAGGGACGGCTCCCAAGGGTCCGCAGGCGCCGCGGGCTGCCCCGGCGCGGCCCCGAGCCGTGCTGACCCGAGGTCGGGGCTCCAGGGGCGCCCGGCCCCGACGGCCGGGCAGGCGGGAAAGGCCGGGCCACTGAGGGACACCGCGCCGGCGGCCGTACCTGCGCTCCTCGACCTCCGCGTCTCTCTCGAGCTCCAGCAGGTCCAACTGCTTGGCCACGAAGCTCTCCACGGTCGCCGCGGCCATCGCGGCCGCCGGCGGGGTCCGGAGACGCCGAGGTCCGGCTGCCGCGCGCGGGCCGAGTTCCCCGCCGGACCCGGTGCGTCGACCCACAAGGTTCGCGCTACTTCCGCTTCCGCTCGCGTCCGCTTCCGGCCGAAGCTGTGGGAAGATGGCGGCGGCCATGGGAGCCTGGGCCTGGCCGGTCACCTTTGGGCGGCTGGTGTCCTCCTGCAGCCGCAGCATCCTGAGGTCGTCGGGCCTTGGCGCGGGTGAGCCCCGGGCCGCGGGGTGAAGGGAGAAGCAGTCGGGGGCGCTCCCCGGCGTCCCGCCACGTGCTTGATGCCTTCGGTGTGATCGCTTTTTTTTTTTATTTTTCAAGATTTATTTGTGCATCAGAACTGGGGTACAGGCCAGAGGTGCGGGGGTGAGAGGACTCCCCAGAGACAGGGTGGGGAGCAGAACAGCGGATCCACTGGCAGCTATTGGCCAGGGGAGCCGCGGGGAGACTGGAGAGCCCGCCGCGCCCTGTGGGTCCCTCCCTGGCCGGGTCGAGCTCGCGCGGCAGTGGCCGCCGACAGCTCCCCACGCTGCGCTTCGACCACTGCGCCCCCAGGGAGGGCCCCTTGGTCTCCTGGTGATGCAGTGAATAGCGCGAGCTGTGGAGCCCGCGACCTGGATCCAGATTCCTGCAGTTGCTTTCCTACATGTTGACAACAGCTCGTCCACTTCTGTGTAGACCCGTGACGGGGAGCACACTGAGGCCCACAGAGGTTAGGTGACCTGTCCAGGATCACACAGCAGGGACGTGGGGAAGAGTACTTCAGACAGGGCGCCTGGCCCCAGAGCCCGTGTGCTTTAATCACGGCCCCTGTTGCCGAGCCTGCTAACGTCTGGCTGTTCTTTTTGTTTTTTTAAGATTTATTTATTTTATTCATACAGAGCTGGGGTACAGGCCAGAGAGGATTCACCAGGGACAGAGCGGGGAGCAGAACAGGCAGATCGACAAAGCACACTGCTGAGGGGAGCAGCGGGCGGGTCAGGAGAGGTCTGCCGCCCCTGTGGTCACCTCCGGGGCAGGCGGGGATCGAACTCATGCGGAAGAGGCTTGAGCTTCTTAGTGCTGTGCTTTAACCCGCTGCGCCACCAGGGAGGGCCACATCTTGCTGTTCTTATCTGGAAAAGGTGTTGAATGTCTTTGCCGAATCTTAAGTCATTCTGCCAAAGCAACAGCTGCGTTTTAAACACTGGATTACTGTGAGAGTCAAAGAATTGTGTACTTTTTAAAGCACTGTATAAATCCATCCTGAGATGTTTCGTGCATGTATTTGTGTGCCCTGATATTTACTGGTGGTTTTTAATGGTGTCTAACTATCTGGTGATAGTAGAGTTACTCCCATTTTTAGATGTGACAGTGATGTGTGGACATGTTCTTTTAAAAGAGTCTGTGTTTTTCATTAAAGAATGCTGACATCTTTACTGGTGTCTACCATTTGCTTTAACGTAATTGGAGGGCCCTCCCTGGTGGTGCAGGAGTTAAAGTCTCGGCACTACGAAGCTATCACAGTTGGGCAAGAGTTCAGTCCCCAGCCAGGCAGGGACCCCCAGGGCGCAGCAGACCTCTGTCTCCCCAGTGCCCCCCTCAGCTGAGGGTTTCAGTGGATCCGCCTGTTCTGCGCCCCACTCTGTCTCTGGTGAACCCCCTCACTCCACTGCATCTCTGGCCTGCACCCAGCTCTTGTATGCATAAATAAATAAAAATCAAGTGATCGGAGTTGAGCTAGAGACACGGATGAGACAAGCTTCCCTTGAGTACCGGATCTTGAAGGGGCGTTGAAGAAAACAGCCCAGAAAGAGTCGTAGTCCTTGGAAATCTACAGAAGGGTCCTGTCGAGGGTCCTTCTGTCCATGGGAGAGAAGAGCATGTCTGTTCCTGTGGGGTGCAGCCGAAGCCGAGACTTTGGCATGAGTTATGGGGAGGCCGACCTGGTGCAGAAATGACCTCGGCGCCAGAGCGCCGTCCCCAGCCGCAGGTCTCCAGCGGGGCTTCATTCAGTGACTGCAGAGTTCACTCGCTCTTTCCCGTTTACTGGACACACGCCCTGCGTCCAAAACCCAACACAGCCGAACCCCTGCATCTGACCTCACGGGGACTCGGGGGGCGTGCAGAGGGACGGGCTGTTTCCAAAGTAAGCAAGTATGTGTTGATGCCGTGTCTGTGGAGGAAAGCAGGCACGAGCTGGCTGGGCCTCATGGGACCCGGGAGGCCTCCGCTGGGCGATGTTCCCAGAGTCCTGAGGGATTAGCCTTCTGGACTGGGGGCTGGGGACCTCCCAGGGAAGAGCAGTTAAGAGTCAAGTCTGAGGCTGGTGGGCGCCAGGTATGTTCTAGAAATAGTGAGGAAGCCGGAGGGGCAGGTGCAGGGCCTGCCGGCCGGCCCACCTGCTCCAGGCCACCGTGTGGACTCCGCTTTTTCTCTGCGTGAAATGGGGAGCTCTTGGGTCGTTTCGGCAAAGCAGCGCCGTGATTCCGCGGGGTCACTGTGGCTGCTGAGGGCGAGGAGGGCAGTGGGGAGAGCGGGCCCTGTAGCGGTCAGGCAGGCCGGCGAGCTGCGCACACTAAGTGGTCCTCGGGTCAGGAGTGGCTCCGCGGCGGGGGACACCACGCCGAGGCCACGGGCTGCGCGAGTGACAGCAGTCGGTCCGGTGGCGAGTTAGCAACCACGCGTCTCTCCTGCCCCTCAGCCTCCCTGTGGTCTGCTTCCGGAAGGTTCCACTCGCAGAGCACGTCATTCCCAGCAGGGTAATATCAACATGTGGGTGTGGGTGCCCCCTTTCGCGCCTAGGGCAGTGTCCCGTGTCCACACGGCCTGTATTTCGGACCCGGCTTCTCCGCTCCGAGCTGTGACGTGTGCAAGTAGACGCTGCTGGGGAGGCGTCGCTCACCTGGGGAGGCCGTGCCCAGCCTGTGCCTGCTGTGGGCAGTGCCGGGCCACAGCGGCAAAATCAGGAACAGCTGGGGGGAGCCACGGGCCGCCGAGCCCACGGGGAAGCCCCTGCCGTGCCCCGTGCCCCCAGGCGCCCACAGCCTCTGAGGCCTGAGGCCTGGGGCCTCCCTCTCAGCCCAATGGCCAGGCCCCGGGACGTGATGGGCAGGGCGGCCGTGTGCCTGCCAGGAGGCAGGGACACTGGACTGGCCAGGCCGGGCGGCGCTCGGCGCACCCGTCTCGGCGCCTGGGCTGCGTGACACGTGTGCGTGTGGGCCACAGCTATGTTCCCAAAACGTCCCTGAGTTCGCCGCCTTGGCCGGAAGTCGTCCTGCCGGACCCGACGGAGGAGGCCCGACACCACTCAGGTACGGGCGGCGCCCAGGGCCACCTGGCGGGGCAGCACGCCTCGCAGACGAGGGCGAGCAGAGGGGCGGCGGCCGAGACAGGGCGCCCTGGGGTCACCCCTGCGCCTCAGGTTTGCACACCCACCGCCCTTGCGCCTTTCATGGCGACTGGCAGTGCGGCAGGGTTCCCTCCGCCCGAGTCAGGGGCGCGGAGGCGGGGCGGCGGGGTGCGACCCTGCGGGGCCCACCTGGCCCAGGGCCGCCTGCTGCTCCAGGCCCGCAGGCCGTGCCACTGTGCCGTGGCCGGGGCAGCGGCTCGCCTGAGGCAGTCTGGGGGTGCACAGTGCCGCGTTCCCTGGCGGAGCCTGCCGTCCCGCAGAGGTGGTGGCCAGGGTGAACCAGCTGATCGCCGGGGGCCAGTACGGCCGCCTCTTTGCTGTGGTGCACTTCGCCAGCCGCCAGTGGAAGGTGACCTCCGAGGACCTCATCCTGATCGAGAGCCACTTGGACGCGGCGTGCGGAGAGAGGATCCGGCTGGAGAAGGTGGGGCCGCGGGCCCAGGGCGCGCTCCCCGGGCGCCGAGGGCCGTGTCCCTGCACTGCGGGTTCTCTCAGTCTGGCCCGGGCGTGGCACTCCAGGGGATGGCGCAGGGGGCGGGGCAGGGCCAGAAGCCACTCCCGGGGTGGCACCCTCACTCCCGGCTGTCGGTGTCCCCACCGGGCCTGTGGGTGACGCTCCTGTCACGTTCCAGGTGCTGCTGGTCGGAGCTGACGACTTCACACTCCTGGGCAAGCCGCTGCTGGGGTAACGCGCCCTTGAGTGTGGGCGGGGAGGGCCCCACGCGCGGTCAGGCCCCCCCACACACTCACGGTTCAGCGCTGCCGGGGGAGCGTGCCGGGCCGGGGCCCGGGCCTGCTCTGCCCTTGTGCTTCTGCCAGGCCCCCAAGGGCGCCCAGCCCCCTGCAGGGCCTCGCGTGACGCGCGCCTGGCTGAGAGGTGACGGGCGTTTTCCCCCTGCCAGACGGGATCTTGTCCGCGTAGAAGCCACAGTCATTGAGAAGACAGAATCGTGGCCAAAAGTCAACATGAAATTTAAGAAGAGGAAAAACTACAAGAGGAAAAGAAGTGAGTTCCAGGGGTGTGCCCGGCTCCCGGCCCCAGCCCGCCCTGGGGGTTCTCCCAGAGCCCTGCTGTCCACTGGCAGCCGCGGGGGGAGTCCCAGTCCCCACAGGGAAGAACCCGTGCTTGGGCCCCCGGGAGGCTGCTGAGACCCCAGGCCCACCCAGACCAGGCAGGCGCCCCCGGGCAGCCCGGTGGGGCGTCGCCCCGGGCAGCCTGAGCCTTGGTGTGCCCGGTGGGGGCTGGGCCCAGGAGGGCTCCCTGGCTTGAGCCTGGGGTTGCCGCCTGGTGAGTGGGCGCACGTTCGGCAGGGCCCCCCACGCTGGGCCGGGCCCATGGACACCCCAGGGGGGCTCCGGCCAGCTGTGGCCTGTGCTCTCTCCCCCAGTAATCGTGAGCCCCCAGACGGTCCTGCGGATAAACTCCATCGAGCTTGCCCCGTGCTTGTGCTGACGGCGCGTGTTGCACGCTGTGAGAATAAACTGCGGAGACCCGCGTCTGTGTGCTGCCAGCCTGCGGGGCCTGTCCTGGCCAGCTGCGTGCCCCTGCGTGTGCCCCGCCCCAGTGAGGCCGAGGGCCGGGCTGGCGGCCTGGTTTGGGCCCCAGCTTGTTCAGCAGGCTGGATTCCTCGGGGCCCCACAGTGGGCAGCGGGAGGCCACCCTGTGACGGGAGTCCCGGGCACCCCACTGTCCCGCCCTTGCCCCCCTTCCTGCCCCCACCTCAGCCACAGGCCCCTGCTGCAGCCGGACCTCCTCCTGCAGTGCCTTCCGCGGGCAGCAGGGGGCGGCGGTGCGCGGGTGAGCGGTCTCTGCGCTGGGGCGGCCAGAACGCCCGGCCCGGCCTGCTATGGCGCGGACACACTGCAGCTCCAGAAGGGGGCCCATCTCTAGGGTTGGGGCCCCCAGCCCCCTGCGGGGATCCCTGGCTGGCCCTCACCCTGCGTGTTTCTCACTCCGGGGCCTTCGGCAGGGAGCCCCGGAGGGCCCCACCGAGCAAGTCCCAGCCGCGGTCGCTGTCCTGGGCCCTGCTGGCGGCCTGCGGGCATCGGGCATCGAGGCGCCCACTGCAAGGGGAGGCAGTGGGGTCCTCTCCTGTCGGGGGGGATGGCCCAGCCGCGCTGGGGGGCATGGCAGCCTTGGTGATCCCGGCCGCGGGTCAGGGAGGAGGCGGCCTGGAGCGGCTGGCGGGCACACAGGCCCGGCCGAGTGGGTAGAGTCAAGGGGAGTCAAAGGAAGGGGGGGTCGCCCAGCCTTTGAGTGCCTTTGGTGCCAACTGAGCCCCTAAAAATGGTTGAGGTGAATGTACCTTCACCACAATAAAGGAGGAGAAACGGCTCGCGTGTTCTCAGCCAGATGGAGCTGCACCCCGCCTTCCTTCAGGGTTGCCCAGGCTGCCTCCCCTCCCCGGGCTCCCGCGGCCTCACCTCCGCGGGGACGCCCGCCCAGCCGGGCCACCGGGCTCTGGCTTTGCGCCCTCCTGCCTGGGCTTGTCCCCCGGGACGCCGCACAGGCCTGCCCTCCCCGGCCAGCGGGCCCACGGGGACCAGGACAGGCCAGGCCAGGGCTCTGGGACCCCTCTTGCTCTCCAGGGTGGGCAGCTGCTGCTGGGGCCCAGCCCGAGGGGGGTGCCCCCTGTGTGGAAGCCCCTCCCTAGATTCCTGTCTCAACTTCCTGGCTGCTGCCTGGGGGCACGTGCATGTGTGTGTCCTCGATGCCCCCCCCCCCCCCCGCTTCACTCCCCTGCACCCCTCCAGCGTTAGTGTTGGTTGGGGCCGATGGCCTAGGGCTTCTGTGGGAGTGAGGAGCCCGCAGCGCCCCAGGGGGCCCCAGGGGGCTGCCGTGGTCCCCAGCTGGTAGTTCCTGCAGGCACGTGGGTGTCGCCTGCCCCAGGGCCTCAGACTCTTGTGGCCACAGGTCACTTCCCAGGCGACAAACCACCCACTTGCAAGGGAGATAAGGCCGCAGGGCTGGGCGCCCTTTGGCCCACTTCCTGCACACGCCAGCCTGCGGCAGAGACCCAGGAGCTCTGCGCTCCTCCCTCCCTCCTACTGGCTGCCTGGAGCCAGCCCTGCCCACCTGCGGGTGGCTGCACCCTGGGGGTGTTCTGCGCAGAGGGGAGGGTCCAGGTGGGGGTGCTGGCGGGCAGGGGGCCCTTCGTGTGCCCCTGGCGGGTCCACGGCCCTCTGCTTCCAGCACCCGTGGGTGCTTTTCCTGGCCATTGCTCCCCTCCTCGGGACAGGGACCTGCCCCTGAGCACGGTGAGCCCCTGGCTGCACGCCGCCATCCGCACGGAGCAGCAGCGGCAGCCTGTCCCGCGGCCCCTGGGCCCCTCACCGGCCGGAGCGCCCCAGGCACTTAGCGGGGCGTGCCCAGGACAGACGGGGCCCCCGGCAGACCACCTGTGTGTCTCCAAGCCCCTGGCTGTTGGCTGATGACACCCTTGCAGCCTCAGTCGGCTGTCCTCTGCCACCGCTTCGGGGCGCGCGAGGGGCCACACGGGCCCTGTGGGGGGAGATGGGGTCTGTTGAGGTCTCCGGTGAAGGTGAGCAGGTGCCAGGCTCGTGTGAGCAGAGATGCCCCTGCCCAGGCCGCGCCTGAGGGACTAGGACAGGAGCCAGGCCTGAGAGCCAGGGCCCCGGGTCAGCAGGCCCCAGAGGAGCTGCCGGACACCGAAGGTGGACGCACCGTGCGCGCTCCCCAGGGGCCCTTGTGGCCTTCTCGGCACGGCGCAGAACTGCCCCCCTGTGCGTGTGCAGACCAGGGCCACCGCACGCCACACTCCAGCCGCACACCCACAGATGCCCACAGTGCTGGGCATCCCACTAGGCACGTCCCTCCCGCGTCTCCGTGAGCCCCACGGCTCAAGGTGGTCAGCGGCCGCTGGACGCGAGGCGCCTGCAGTCAAAGGGACGAGTGGCCGACTCGCTGGCTCAGGGAGCGGGCATGAGCTGGGCCCTGGCGTGGCGGCCTAAAGCACAAAGTTCCCAACACTACAGAGATGGGAAAGAGCTGGAATGTTCCAGAAACCATCTCAAAGGAGAGGAGGAAAGTGGCCAGAGATGGCCATCTCTGGACACTCCTGCTACCGCTCCTCGAATCCAAGCTGTTCCCGGTAAGAGAAAACGGGCAGGTGACCTGGGTGTCTCTGCTTCTAGAAGCATCTGAGGAAAACTCCCAAGCCCCAGGTCAAGCAAGATTCACCTGGGACTCAGCTTCCGGCAGAGCCGCAGGCGCGAGGCTCCCGCTGTCCTGGTGCTGAGCAGCCCCCCCCCCCCCCCCCCCCCC